TGGGGAAGGAATGGTAGGGATGGAATGAGTGCCTTTGTTAAGTTAATTAGGATTAATCAAGTGACCAAAGTCGGTACCTGTTTTTTATTCGTAGATAGATTCTCATTAACGACGGATGAATGCCAGTATTATTTTATTTTCACAGATAACCAAAGAATGAAAGACTGCACAAAGACAGTGAGTGTAATATTTAAGAATAGTAAAGACAAGAGAAATAATGTAGGTAAAGAATTCACCAAAGGGAAACAAGATGTGCCTTGGCAAATTTTTTATATGTATAGGAGAAATAAGGTAGAACTTAAGGGAATAGTGGTAAGAGTTGATTTAAGTATAACGAGCTCCAACTTGCAAGGATGCCTTTTTACAGTTCCTTATGCAAGGAAAATCTACATTATATATAGTTGCCAGAGATGTATCTTTTTATACTGTTTAACGTTTATACTGATTTTTTCATACTTTGTTATAGCGTTTTCACTTTTTGTATGTTATGTAGAAGGTAAGAGTATGTATCGGACGGGTGCAGCGCCGAAGGATGGAAGTATGGAAAGAAAGATAGAGTGTGGAAGTGGATATGGGAATGAGAATGGGGATTGGCAAGAGGAGAGAGACTATGGGGGGAAGAGGAGACAGGAGGATAGTTGCTTGAGATGGGAATTGAGAGGAAGATGTGGTGTGGAGTATGGAACGCGAGAAGTGTAAGAAATAAAAGGGAGGAATTGAGGAGAGTAGGAGAAGCTTTTGATGTGATTGCAATCACGGAGACATGGCTGAAAGAGGATGTCTTTCGGATACCAGGGTGGCACATCATTAGGAAAGATTGTAGCGGAGATGGAAGGGGGGGTGGTTTATGTGTTATGGTTAGGAAGAATGTGAAGGTCTGTAGGTCGGGGGTATTTTTGAGGGATGGGTCGAAAATGGAAAGTTTATTAGTAGAGATAGAGACGAAAAACGGGAAGATTGAAATAGTGGTGGTATATAGAAGTCCGGGGAGAACGATATCAAAAAGGGACTGGAAAGTACTGTTGGGTAATGCGAGGAGAGGGGGGAGAAGGATTTTTGTGGGAGATTTTAATGCAAAAAGCAGGCTGTGGAATTGTGATAGCGAGGACCGGGGGG